CAGTAGCAGATCGAGAGGTGATGTCATGGTTTGGGTACGATGATCGGTAGCAGAGCGAGAGGTGATGTCATGGTTCGAGTACCATGCTTTTTAGCGGATAGTGCTTGTGCTTTTTCCAGTTATCCTATCGTGTTTGGGTTATTCTATGATCGGATGCGATAGAATATGGGGCTAGAGGGCCATGTTGAACGAGTTTCAACAGAGCATACCTTGAGAAGAGATTTGAGTTGATTTCCGAGAGATTTTTAGTGAGATGTCAGTTGGAGTCGCAAGACTCAAAGATGAGTGGAGATGGTATTATATGAAGGATTGCGGCCTGAGTTGAGCAATCAGCCGATAGTGGACATGTCACCTTCTGTGATCTGAGTGGTGCTATTTCAGTTTCCTGTGGGAAACATATGAAGTGTTGAGATATTCGGTTTTGAGCTTGGGGGTAAGCCCTGCGGGGTAGCAGTGATGGCGATCTTCCACCGGAGTATTTGGCAGTATGTCTGCCGCGAGGTAATGATATAACATGAGCAGGTTGTCGGTAGGAACTAAGATGGTCAAGGACCAGGACACACCCTACTCGAGTATAGTAGGGCACGTGTTAGCTGTAGCAACGGATGATCAAGAAGAGTATATTGGGGCGATGGCTTTTTGTCTATGATGGGTATCGAGAGTGGAAGTGGAGTCTCTGCTCTTATGATAAGTGATGTGATAGAGCGTTGGTTGAGGAGTCGAGGATGAAGAGAATGATAGTTCATTATTTCCAGAGTAAGAGTCAGAGTTAATACTGGACAGTTGGGGAGGTCCGGGTGTGAGTTTCTGAATGACTAGAGGCAGTCATGATGGGAAGTTCTGAGGATTTCATCTGAGATTGGGGTTATTTGGGGTTGCTTGATCTCTGTCGGGAGATCATCGAGCGTGCGTAGCACCTTCCAAGAGTAGGTGCGACGTTACTGGTGGGAACAGTCTGTGGGATAGATTGTTGGTGCGTCAAATGATGATGGTTCAAACCCTGAGTGGGGGAGAACCGGGTATTCTAATGAGAGAATCAGAGGTTGGTTCAAGAGCGGTTAGAGAACTAGATATTGAGACCTGTGGTACGGATTCAGAATACCAGCGTTATTGGTGGGTAAGGTGAGGTACAGATTAAGTTTATGCATGAGGCACGTGTTCGTGAAAGGATGAGTGTCTCCACGACCGGTGGCCGTTGGTTAGGGAACTTGTAGTGGTTAGAAATTCTTCGAGGTGGTTTGGCTTGTAAGGATAGTTCAGCGGTTGGGAAATTCTGGTCCGATGTATGGGCTGTTATATGTAGTTTGGGAAGAGCAGATGTGGAATTAGACAACCAACCTCAGGGTCGGTCAGTGTATTCTTGCATGAGTTTTGAGCAATAGAGGAGGGAGTTTCGGATGGTTGTCATCGTGTTCTGAGTCATTGGTGATTCCTTTGTGTTCTATTGAGAGTTGGGACTCTCCGAGTTGCGCGTGGTGTGAAATGAAGATTAGTTATGAGATTCTAAGGGAATGCATTGATGTATCTGTGTATGATGCCGCAAGTGGGAGATCAGTGGTTGGGGCTGGACATCGTGATGTTCTGTAATGGTGTTCTGAGGAGTCCGAGTATAATGCCCTGATTTCCGAATTATTTTTAGAGTCTTGAGTTTGAGGCGGCAACTGGTGTATCAAGTATCTACGGTCCCAGTGGGAGCCCTTCGGGTATTGACATCAAGAGGGATCATTTAAGAATGTGGATTGCAGCAGGGAAAGTTGTTTTGTTATGGCGGTTGTCGTCATATATAATAATGTATAATTTGGATGAGTGTGGGTACCTATCTATGTTAGTCCGCGGAGCATTAGTTAGTGGACGCAGGGAGGGGTTAACGTGAGTATGAGATTGTGGGATGATAAGAGAAAGTGCTACTAGTCAGCGAGAGGGTGTTGTGATACTGCGGGGAGCCGTAGTACTCACTAGTCAGCGAGAGGGTGTTGTGATACTGCGGGGAGCCGTAGTATTCACTAGTCAGCGAGAGGGTGTTGTGATACTGCGGGGAGCCGTAGTACTCACTAGTCAGTGAGAGGGTGTCGTGGTACTACAGGAAGCCGTATTATTCGCAAGTTAGAGCATGACGCAGAGGAGTGTTAGGCTTGGGTAGCCTTATTATTGAGTTTTTGTACACACCTGTGAAAGAGTTACATTTTGAGGATCCTGGATTTTTAATGGTGCAATTATGGAGTTTGAGTTGTAAACCTAATAAATGAGATTTTTGTGAAATACTTTATGAAAATTATGTGATTTAAAAATGAAAAAGTTGTTTGAAAATTTACGGTGTTACATGGTCATCAAAGAAACCGTTCACTGTTAGCCTGTTACAATCTCAAACTTCACATCAACATATGCAGTTACGACGACTTTAGCTAATTCACTAATAATTGGTGTCAATAATCGATTGCAAATTTGGATCGATAGATTAAGAGCGATGATGGAGTTTCATTCGATCATCATTTAGATTTCATTGAACTCAAATTCAATAACGATGGAGTCAATGAGTGTATCGTCGGTGGAGGATTTATATAGATCTTCCAAATCGATTCAACATTTATATTGAAATCAACACCTGAAAAAGATCAAATGCAATAAAAGAAGAAAATCGAACCTGAAGACTAGATCGATGTTGAGGATACTAGATTAATTACATGGTGGTGATATTGGTGGAGCACCGGTGCGTCGTTGGAGGGAGAAACCAATGGAGAGTGATGAGAACACGATTTTTCTTTATACGATTTCTTCCCCTGTGGTGGCGTTGATGTACTGAGCGCACAGGATTAGCTTCGACGCACACGTCTGGGCCTGCGCCTGTGAAGCCATCTCTGTGGTTGATTTTTTTCTCTCTCTAGAAATTAAAAGGGTGGCGATTACATTCGAGTTTCTTTTTTCTTCATCTCCGATTACATTATGATCAGCAAATCGGCAACACAACTAAATCAAAAAAATTAGAAATAGAAAGCGATTCCAACCCATACACCGATGACTGATCCCGACGATTACAAGGTCAGAGGAGCTAAAAAAATTGATTGCAAAAGTCAGAGGATTTAGATACGCTTGTATCAATCACTACCGATGAAGATCTGTATTGATTTTGTTTTTTAAAATCGACAATGATTGCGGTTGATTAACAGTGAGTTTGATTTTTGTTGTGCCAAATCACAACAACAAGGATGTCAGGGGAAGCCGTCTGATGGTGGATCAAAAGTGAATCATCGGAAACCACCTAACGTCGCGGAACAACATTAGCGAAAAGGCAACACATGGAGGCGATGCGATGACAGGATGAAGGAAGGAGAGCTCTCGTTCAATTTTTGTGGATGATCTGATGTAGGGGGAGGATGAATCATCGGCACCATAATCGAAGAATCGAAGAAAGTGAGGATCGCGTGGGAAGAACGCAGTCGACATTGTCTCGATTGTGATATTTTGTTTTCTCTTTTAGTAAATCAGATATATTTGTTTCCAATAATACCCTTGATCTCATTTAATTAGCATGCCCCCGCCTCTTTAGTTTTCTGCTTATTTACAACAATGCCACCTTGCATCTTGACCATCCTTTTTTTGATCCAACGCTCCACCTTTAGTTCTCGGGTTCTCGGGAAACTTTGAGTTCTCAAATGATCATTCCTATATATATATATATATATATATATAATATATATAATATATATATATATATATATATGTTCAATAGAGGATCATAATTATTGGTTCTCCAAGGAACCAATTTTTTTTTAAAGTTTTAGAGCTTATTCTTTATCGAAAAAAAAAACTAAAAATATCTAAATTCATAACATAACATTGTGAATGTTAAATATATTTTTCGGATTCACCGTGTGAATTTAGATTCACATTGTGAATTTTCAAAGATTCACATTGTGAATTTAACGAAATTTTTTTTTCCGAATTTGATATCATTGGAAAAAGGATAAGAAGTTATTAATTTCTGTATTTTTAGTTTTTTTTTGATAAAAAATAAATTCTAAAAGTTGAAAATAAGATTGGTTCCTTGGTTCCTTGGTTAATTATGGTTCTCTATTGAACCTCACTATATATATATATATATATATATATATATATATATATATATATATATATATATATATATATATATATATATATTACCTAAATGATTTTTAGGGTCTAAAGTTGGTTCAAACTCAAATTAGCTCAAAAGATAAACAATTTGGCTTGATTGTTATTGCTAATTTAACATGTCTATAGTGAAGAATAAATGATATTTTTTTTTGAATCTTTATTATATTTGTCTTTGAATGACCATTTTTTTTTCTTTTCGCCCCGGGCCTCATATACGTTTGGACCGGCTCTGAACCTTCCACTAATCACACAATTTTGATCTCTAGCAACGATGCAATGACATGGTGATGTCATGGATTATGAATGTTCTCTCTAGTGATATTGCTGAATCTGTTCTCTATTGATTTACTGCTGAAGAAGTTTGGAAAGATCTTAATGATCGTTTTGGTCAATTGAATGGTGCAAAATTGTATCAACTTCAAAAGGAGAATTCAGATCTTACTCAAGGAACTAGTGATTTGGATAGTTATTTCACCAAATTGAAGAAATATTGGGATGAATTAAGTGCTCTTTCTATTATCCCAAACTGCACTTGGTATGCAACTTATGAGATGCAAGAACTTTAACAAAATCAAAAGCTTATGAAATTTCTCAAGGGGAAAAATGGAGATTACAGTGCCATTAGAGGAAGTATTATGATGAGGAATCCTCTTCCCACAATTACCAAGTCTTATTCTCTTCTCATTCAACAGAAACAACGTGAGGTACAATCTCCATCACACTTCTTACTTGAATAAGCAAATAAATGCTATAGACTAATTGGATTCACAAAGGATTTTAAGTTCAACAAGAACAAGGCTGCTGCTAATGTGTTTGATCAATTTACCTCACAAGATGATCCTAAAGAATCTCAAACTTCGACTGATTCCATGCAAGAACTCTCCAATGACCAGTATCATCAATTGTGTTCACTGTTGAGCAAGCTTAATGATAACAATATTGGACAAAATTCTTCACAAGCCTCTGCAAATTTGGCTGGTAATGCTTTATTCTCCCAAGATATTTATGATTATCCAATTAAGGGCTTGTTTGATTTGGTGATGACCGGGTCCGGTCAGACGTTTTTGTCTGACTCGGTCCGATCAGAATGTTTGATTTGTGTTGATCAGGCAGCTGACCCGGTCTCAGTCAGCAAAATTGATCTGACTCGGTAAGGTAAAAAACTAACGCTGACCGAGACTTAACTTCATTTGCCCACATTTTCCCTTCTCGTTTTCCTCTTCCTGATCGCTCCTTCACGCTTTTTCTTCATCGTCACCAAACTTATGAATGAACGCCATCAGCCTCCTCCAACGTCGCCATTCTCCTGCCTTGTTCTCGTCATCATCGACGACACAATCATATGTTACAACTCACAATTGATTTCCTTCATAAGGTATTTATTTTTTCCTTCATAATTACTCCTCATCTCTTCTTCTTTTTCTTCTTCTTCTTATTCTTCTTCTTCAATTCTATCAATTTCAAATGGAATCATGCATCAGTATCGTATTGCTGTTGTTACTCCAAACCTACAAACCCAAAACCCGAGTCGGATCCATAAACCGAGTCAGGACAAACCTATCTGATTTGGGACAAAAACGTGATTGTGATTTCCAGAAATTGAGTCGGATCCATGGGTCATTGTCGCAGGCGATTCACAAGCGCGATTGTTTATAGTGTCGTTAGATTTGGTTTTGAGTTTAGATGAAATGGAATCGATTCAGAAGGATTTGTTTAAGAGACATAGTGATTATCATATCGTGGATGAAGAAATTGGGATGAAATTAGACTTTATTTGGGCACCTTACGCTACTAATCTCAGTCATGTCATTACAGAATTCAAAAGAAACAAGATTTACCCATATGTGTTAGTGATGGGTTCAAGTTTATGGCATATGTTACACTTCACAAACTATTCCGATTACATGGTTACATTATGGTTTCTATGGGAATCCTTGATTCCATTCCTTCCAGTGGGATCTGATTCTACTCGGGGATTCCATCTGTTTTGGCTAGGCATGCCAACTTTTATAAACAGAATGTTGAATACAGAAGAGAAAAAGGGAAAAGATGACAAGTGAGATGTGCAATTTGAATGATTAAGAGCTTTATAAAAGCAAGATCTTGGGTAAAGATGGTGGTGTGATTATATGTATGTGTGTGTTGAATGTAAATTTTGTACGTATTCACTATGTAATGCTATAAATTAAATTGTAAATTATAAATGAATTATTATAAAAAATGTTGTTTGAGGGTAATATGGTCATTTTGCACAGTCAGTCAGTTGAAAAATCAAATAACAAGTTTCAGTCAGAAGTTAACCCAGTCAACTTCTAACCCAGTCAACTCTAACCCAGTTAGCAACTATCAAACGACCCCTAAATGTCATTGCATTGAAACTAATACAATGACATGGATAATAGATTCATGAGCCAGTGATCATATGTGTTTCAATAAATCTACTCATATTAACATTCACAAGCTCAAAAATCCTATTCGGATAACTTTACCAAATGGTCAACAAACTAATGCTTATGAGTTTAGGAGTGTTGTCTTATCTGAATCTGTCATACTTCATCATGTTCTTTATGTCCCTCTATTTAAATTCAATCTTCTTTCCGTAGCCAAATTGTGAAGAGAATTTTGTAACGTCCCAAAACTCAATACCATTTTTTTGTTTATATATTAAATAAACCATCAACTAAACATGTTTGTAGAAACCATAAAGTATTCAGAGAGTATCAATAAACATCCCAAAAGTACATAAGAGTCAATAAAGTGGAAAATCATGGTGTGTGCAATGCGATCATCCCGAGCTCTTCCCCTTCGATCCAGAAGTACTTGAAACATAAACTGAAAGCCGTAAGCACAAAGCTTAGTGAGTTCCCCAAAATACCGAATACCATACATATACGTCAGCTCAAGGCTATATCGGGTCTATTTCACCCCTGGGTCTATTTCACCCCGAGTCTATTTCAACTCACATGTCAGCACAAGGAAGTACCGATTCTATTTCACCCCTAGTCTATTTCAACTCATATGTCAGCATAAGGATGTATCGATTTATTTCACTCTCGGGTCTATTTCACCCCACATACATATAGCAAACATGCATAAAACACATACAACAGGAGTCACAAAGACTACAAGCACATACAATCCCTAGTGTCCTATAGTATAGTGAGCAAACTCACCTTAGTCCGCTGACAATCGAGTAAATGCTCAGGCTACTAAACCGGAGAATCCCAATGCTAAGCAAACAAAAACAACCTTAATCAATAATTAGGTTATAAACCATAACCGAGAATCTAACTCACTAATCCTAACTCCCAGGATAAAAGACCATTTTACCCTTCCTTTCAATTAGACCAAAAACTGTGGCCCAACTTAATGTCACTTAAAAGCCCAATTCCAAAAGATACTCAAGGCCCAATATAAGCCCAAGGCTTAATAGTGTCCCAACTCAAAAGACTTGTGGCCCAACAAGGTACCAAAACTCTAAAGTCCAAAGGCAGCCCAAAAATCAAAAGCCCAAGTCCAGGTCGAGTACGCTAAGCGTTCCCTTAGTACGCCCGACATACTAGGTTGCTACACAAAATCGGGGATCCAGGCGCATACGCACAACGTACGCTTTCGTATGCCTAACGTACGCCCCATTCAACCCATTTTGACCATTAAGCACTTAATGCTTAAGACCAAATGTCCATATTTCAGATCCAGACCTTGGGGAACGTCTTAACCCATAATGTCACTAACTTGATACATTTAGATGGCTCAGATGGACTCAAACCTTATATTTAACATCCTACTTTCACCAAATGGACATATACCCATGCATGGTTGATCCTCAACTATTAAGATGCTAACTTTATGGAATAAGGATCTCAAAAACATCAAGAGGAGCAACTCATAACTTCGGGAGTGGTAAATTCCCAGTAGATCTCATTCATGGGACCAAAAAGTGACCAAAACTTCACTAGATCTAGATCTAAGCATTGAATGAGCAAGGTTAAAGCTTTATACCTTTATAAAGCTGAAAATGATGGATATAATCTGGATCTAAAAGGTCCTTCTTGATTAATGATCCTCAACCAAGCTTCTTCTTCTTCTTGAAGATACACCAAACACATATAAATGTCAACTCTCTCTAGAAAAGGGTTAAGGTTTCGAAATGGGACTCAAAAGAGGATATGGGGGCTGGTAAGGAGGAAACCTTGGGCATAAGGTTGCTTAAATAGGGTACAAACCTTAAAATTAGGGTTTGTCCCCTGATCACATACGCCATGCGTACTAAAGGTATGTCCAACTTATGCGTATCTTTCCCAAAAATTACAATAATGCCCCTTAGGACCAAATTTGCAAATTATATTCACACCAAAGGTCAAAATGAAAGATACCTTGAATCGTGTGTACAAATTCTCCCCAAACTTGAATTAGACTACCTCCTCGAAGTCCGCTGCTGCAAATAATTTTGGGTAATGCTCACTCATCTTGTCCTCAGGCTCCCACGTCCACTCAAAACCCTTTCGGTGCTTCCACTGCACCTTCATGAGGTCCACAACCTTGTTTCGTAGAGTCTTCGTCCTCATGTCAAGGATCGCCACTGGTCTCGCCATATAATTAAGATGATCATCCACCTGAATGTACTCCAATGGAACCACTGTGGAATCATCAACCAAACATTTTTGCAGTTGAGAGACATGAAAAGTGCTATGGATATAATTGAGCTCCTCCGGAAGATCCAAACGATAAGCAACCCTACCCACCCAGGCTAACACCCTGAAAGGACCAATAGACATGGGGCCTAACTTACCCCGCTTCCTGAATCGGATGACAGCTTTCCATGGTGACACCTTTCCAAGGTGAAACCTTCAGGAGTACCATATACCCAACCTGAAACTCTAAGTATGACAGGCGTCTATCTGCGCAGCTCTTCTGTCGGCTCTGTGTTGTCTGAAGTCTGTTGCGAACTTGCTGAATCAATCCCGTCGTTTTGAGTACCACCTCCGTACTCCCCATGATCCGTTGTCCGACTTCACCCCAACATATTGGGGTCCTACACTTCCTACCATAGAGCATATCAAAAGGAGGTCGATCAATGTTGTCGTGATAACTGTTGTTATACGAAAATTCCGCCAAAGGAAGATACTGATGGGTTTTGAGCACTCTAACAACCTTAAGGTGCACATACAACCCTAAATGCTTTGGATCTATGTTTTCTCTAATTATACATGCAATTTGATTTTTCAAAGCATTACCCTAACTAGCATAAAAAACTTTGATACTTGTATAATAAAACTAGTTTAGGTAACATACCTTTCTTGTAGCTTGTTACTTGGAGATTTAAGAGCCTAGCACCAATAATGTGAATGCCTCAAATGGGACCACAAATCACCACCAACAATTGGAAGACTTGGGAGAGAATATCTTTGCACACAAAATCGGTTTGCTCTTCACACACACATTCTAGTGGCCGATTTTGGTAGCTAAGGAGTTCTTTATATAGTGTGGCATGATTAGGGTTACATCCATGCAAACCCTAATGCCCATGACCTTTCACATTACTTAGGATCCATGGATAAAAACCTCCATGGACTTCCATCTTGGTTTAGCCCATTCTAAATAATCATTGGCCCATACTTTAAGAATCCATGATTTAATTAGTCTCTTTTGATCACAAAATTAATTCCAAATTAATTCTTGATCAATACTAATTAAATAATATGATTTCATATTAATATATTAGAACTTATAATATATTAATAAATCATAAATATCCTCTTCTCAAAAGTCCATCCTTACAAATTGTTCCGGTGAAAATGCAACCCAAATGGACCATGCTAAATCGGGTCAAGTACATACCAAATATAGTTATGGACTAAGAAACCTTATCCAATAGTCTCCCACTTGGATAAGTCTAATAACTATAATTGCAAGTACGACTTCAGGAACCGACCAACAATCGTAGCTCTTAAAACCTTGTCGAACTAAGACGTGCCATTTTAGATAAGTGATCATATAATCCTCTGTTCTCAAGTTATCAGCCGGACAAATACATGGAACAATGTCATACTTATTGTCCAACAGTTTGTTTCCTAATTTTCGATTTGTTTGGCATAGAACTTAATCGAACACATCAATTTAGTTCTGACCGGGCCCGACACATAAGTCAAAATAAAATCATCGAGGGGCTCAAGATATCGCTTCTAATCCTCCAAGGACTAAAAGGAACATATAAACTTTGACTCATATGCTTGTACTAACTATTCGCCAAATCATACACAATAACACGTTTTATAACATCAAGTTACTGATGCATTTTCGTACTATCAATATACAACCAACTAATAGTCAACAACTCATATGTCTTGGTTTGAAGGCTTATATGATATTACCGTCTCACGATCAGTCGAGATAAATTCCATGAAGTGATACTAGTGAGCGTGGGTTTAATCCAATACTCAGAACTTATGAGCACTCATGAATGTTGTAGCAACTTTTGGTATGTCTAAACACTTCAGACATCTACAAGCCCAATTCATGACAGTCTTGCTTCAATACCTACTTCCAAAGTATGATCGACCGTGGATAGTTTGAATAATCTTATTATCCTGGAAGTCAAAACATGCAAAATTGAAAACAATAGTAAACAATTGACACAAGATAGTAAGTTCACTCATAAATAAACAACAACTTTTATTTAATCATCAAATGTCAATTACATTTTACACGTTTCAAAAATAGCTATCTAATCATTAAGACTAATATCGTCCTTCAGCCAGACGCGCCTCGCATGCTGCAAATGCTTAACCCTACTCAGTCCCTTCGTGAGGGGATCTGTTGGGTTCTCCTCTGACGATACCCTCTTTGCTACGAGGAGTCCTTCTTCTATCTTGTGTCTTATGAAGTGATATTTTCTGTCAATGTGTCTGGATCTTCCATGACCCCTTGGTTCCTTGGCTAAGGCAACCGCACTATCGCTATCACAGAAAATCTCCATAGGCTCCTTTATAGTCGGTACAACTCTAAGGTCTCCAATGAAGTTCTTCAGCCATATCACCTCCTTCGCTGCTTCGCTTGT